ATACATCCAAAGTCCAAACACCCTCTAAGAAAAAATCTTTAAATTCGGTTTAGTATACTTGAAACAAGTTTAACAAAGGATAATCAATAAACTACTACTAAAGCTAATCATATACAATTTTTACAGAGACATATGTTGTCAAAGGAAAAAGGATTTTACTTTGAAACAAATTATCCCAATTTTAAGCTCTTTCACATGTTGCAGGTCTAGAATAAATCCTTTTAGCATCTCTTCTTCCATCGTCTCACAAAGCCAATCCTCTACATAATCTAAGCTAGCTTCAACCAAAGAAGAAACATGTACCAACGAAAGCCTCGACAACAACAAAGCACCTTGGATCTTTAGTGACAGAATATTAGGAGCATTGATTTCGATAATATCATCAATATCATCATATTCATCCTCAGTATCAAAGTATCCAGAGAACACCAAGTTCTTGATGCTCTTTGAGGTAATATCGAGCAGCCTATAACCATAGCATTCATTCAATACCAACTTTTCCAAAAAGGACTCCCGGATAATATGGTTTCAATCAAATCTTCATCTAGATTCCCACTGTAAATACACAACTTCCTAAGATTTTTCCAACTAATCACCCCAGTTGGATTAAAAATGCAGCCTGCTAATCTCAGATCAGTAAAACATGAGCTGATGAAAAAAAGATTGATCTACTACAAACTCAGCAGCACATTCCACACTCCATAATGCTAAATTAAGCTTTTCAACATTGCATTTTATAGCATATCGAATCCAATTGTTGACTTGCGATTCACATCCAGTATAATAACCGGTATACCCTTAGGCTTAATATTGAACAAAATCATTTTGTTAAGTGGTTGATTGTTTAAAAGTTTATCTAATTTTGGTTCTTTTTTGGCTTTTAAAAAAAACTCCAAATTTTATTATTAAAGCTGTTTTTGCAATATTATCTATAATTTTCTTTTTGTTCTATTATTGAAGGGGTTTATAACCTAAAAAAAATAGGTCAAATGGTGTAAAGGATGACCAAAGAAAAAAGAAAAATAAAGGGGTATAAATGTGAAAAGAAGGAAACTTGGTGGTGTAAATAATAAGCAAAGAGAAAAAGGGTATAATTGGCCAAATCACAGTAAATCAAGTTGATTTGGGAAATGATTCTTCAAACATGTCAGCTTTTACAAAAAAAAATTAAGATTTCTCTCTCTTAGGTGTTTACTTAGGCTTGGCGTACCGGCTCGGTAAGGAGCTTGACGCAGCCTAGTTGTCTTCGGTACCCACCACGCCATAGCTTCGACGACGGCAATTCGGCTAGCAAACTCGGTAATGGCCTATCGATGAGAGAGAAAGGATTTAATACATTTTCATTTACTTTTCTTTTACAATTTAAACAATTTTTTTGATTTTCTAAATCCTTTTTCAAAATATAATTGCCTTTTTTTAATTTTTTTTTCAAATTTTAAACGCTCACTCCTCTATTATAAATACCACCATCCTTCTTCAATCTTCACCACATTCAAATCTTCTCAATTCAATTCTCCTAACTTTCTTATTTTCCATCTTCCTCAAAACCTCATCACTAAAAAAATGGCTCATATTTGGTCAACTGTTGAAAAATCGTATTGGTCCGTTTATGGGTTGATGTAACAAGAGACCCAATCAACATTAACGTCACTATGCCTACTTTTTGGAGGAGTCTCGTCGAAAAGTACAACCGTGCAGCCGCTCTACCTCAAAGTAAAGATCAAATCTTCTCCAAATTGAGACATGCAAATGCAATTTCAATTTAATTTAATAATGTGTTTCATAGGGTGATGCGTGAAGCCGAGCAAGGTGAAACTGAAAATACTTTGTTAGTGAATGCTCTCGAGACTTTCCGTCAAGAAACCAACAAACCTTTCCGGCTTGCTGAGTTTTGACAAATTGTGAGGCAGTGTGACAAATGGCGTCTACTTTCAGGTCGTTGTCTTCTAATTTCTAGTGGGTATGTGTTTTAATTTCTAGTTGTTTTGTGTGTTAGTTTAATTTCAAGTATGTCATTTCCTTTTGTTATTTAAATTTCTATGTTTCATGTTTTAGATCTCTAGGTTTTGTAATTTTAAATTATGTGTTGATTTTTTTTGGTGTGTCGCAATTTTATTTTCTAATTTAATGAACGTTTTGATTTTATAAAAATAATTTGTTTGAAAATTTAATTTTTAATATTAATTAATTTAAGAAAAAAAAACTAGCATGGCAAGTGTGACAACCAACACCCTATAAATGACAAAAATAAGAAAAATTGTAACAAATCGTAGGTGGTGTCTACAAGGACTGTGACAAGCTTGGCACCACTCCCTCCAACCTAAGGCTTGATGGGGTGGGAGTCGGCATCGATTGGAAAATCCGAAATGGACTCGACAAACATCGTGCTGCCACCTCGGCGAAGTCAATTATGTTTCGGCATTCGGAGAGTAACCACAAAGTTTGAATGCCACACACCCACCAATGAGCAAACAACTCTTTTTCAAAATATATTTTTAAAATAACTATATATACATTCATTCAACCTGCATTCCTTCACATACCACATCATAACTTTCTTCAACAGTCTCTCTAAAAATGGCATTTTCATCTTCTTCATCGTCAGGGTTTTTTTTGATGTGTTACTTGAATCGACTATGGAGGTCATTCAAGAGTTGATCAGAAGGTAAAAGAACTACGTTAACAAAATGTTGATAATGCACGCCGAAAAAAAGGTTCATACAAAGAAATCGTGAGGTGGATCACCAACGCCGCATGCAAGATTATTATGAAGAAAAAACGACTTTTCAAGGAAACTATTTTCATCGGCGGTTCTGTATGCACAAATATTTGTTTCAGCGTATCGTCAACGACGTCACGACAGCGTGTCCATATTTTCAGCAAATAGTAGATGCTAGAGATACTGTTGGTTTTACTCCTTTATAAAAATGCATTGCCACACTTCGTTCTTTTGGTTCCTTCAATGACATAAATGTTCTTAACATGTCTCCATTATTCGACAACATATACAACGAGACTGCACCAGATCTTCATGTGATGTGCGTGGAACAACATATAGGTACATGTATTATCTTATAGACGGGATCTATCTAGAGTGGGATTTTTCGTGATGTCGTTGTCTTATCCTAATGATCGAAAAGGATGAAGCTTAAGAGAGCTCAAGAGAAAGCGAGGAAGGAAGTCGAACGAGTGTTTGATGCTCTTAAAAAACATTGACATATACTTAAATACTCTGCACTTTTTGTTGATGAGAAGAAAACGAGTGACATGATGTATACTTGTATTATATCGCATAACATGATTTTCGAAGATGAAGGAAATGCAATATGTATGTATAATAAAAATGTGATAGTTGCACCGACACAAGCTTTTGAGGTTGGAAGCAAGGAGTACTCGGCGAAGAGAATAATAATTCATGATGTTGAGACCCATCATGTTCATAGTAGAGACTTGAAGAACTACTAGAAAAAGAGCCTTTTACGACGCGCAATGCGCGTCGTAAAACTCTCAGACGACGCGCAAATGCATGTCAAGGAAGGCCCTGTCATAACGAGAGACGACATGCTTTTGCGCGTCGTCTATAGACGATGCGCATTTACGACACTCATTTATGACACACATTTACGACGCGCATTTACGACGTGCAATGCGTATCAAGGAAGGCCCTGTCATAAAGGAAGACGACATGCATTTGCATGTCGTAACCTTACGACACGCGTGTTTATGACACGCAATGCGTATTAAGGAAGCCCATGTCCTAAAGGAAGAAGACACACATTTTTGTGTGTCATAATATTAAATGTTTTTAAAATTATATATTTTTGATAGATTTACTAATTTTAAAATTAAATAACACATTAAAAGTCTCATAATACAAAATAAATACCATAAACAATAAAGATAATTCATTGCAGTAATATGTCAAATACAAATAATCATTCCAATCGTAAGTAAATGTAACACATTCCTAATATTGCATAATATTTATCATAGAAAACAAAACATGTACAATATTAAAAGAAACCCATGACTAAATTCTCCTTTGACAATATCCTTTCTAAAAGAATAACCTGATGCAGGAACTTTGAGAGGCTTCAGGACATGGAAGGAGGTTGCTAGAGCTGTCAGAACCTGCACATGGCAAATCGGTAACTTAACATGCAATACAATACAAGATGATATGATAGAGATGGTATAGCATCCAACTATATATTTTTTGTCTATTTTCTTTGCCAATGCCAATTAGGCCACTAAGCTTAGGAAAACGATTCTTTGGATCATTTTGTAAATAGGATTTTGAATATATTGTTAGCAAGTGTTGATGTGGGTGATAATCAACATTAAAATTGTAAATGCAGTGACATATTTAACATACAAATTATAAATTCAAAAGTCATTTCCATTATGTCTCCAAGTTTGTGTATTCATTTCATATAAATTATAAATTCAAAATCTCTCATAAATGATAAGATTTACGTATTATATAAAAATCAGGTCAAAACAGGAAGTGGGGTAGATAACATACCTGACTTGAGTATTTCTTTTCCTTGAATATTAAAAATAAAGCTTCAATTCTATGTGATCAAACGTCTCTGCCTAATGTCCCAAATCTGAAATTCTTGAACTTCCAAGATCAAGACTCCAAAGCTGAAGATATCATACTTGATAGAGAAAGTTCCTTCCTTTGCATACTCAGGAGACATATAACCACTGATACAACAAAATCGATATGACATTTCAATAATTGACCATGGAAACATATAACTCAATTGTAATTTAGATATTGTAACTTTGTAACTAAGACAACTTACTATGTTCCAACCACCCTGTTAGTGATTGCCTCGGTCTCATTCTGCATGAATATTCTTGCCATACCAAAATCAGAAATCTTGGGGTTCATACTCTCATCTAAAAGAATGTTGCTAGCTTTTAGATCTCGATGAATAACTCTCATTCGTGAGTATTATGCAGGTATAACAACCCTTGAGCAATTCCTTCAATTATGTCGAATCGTTTACGCCAATCCAACTCTGTTTTTTTGTTTTCATCTGCAAGACATCGAAAGAAAATAGTCTTTTATGAATATCACAAGTAAAACCATTGTATACATTTATGTTACAAACACTTCATACGAAAGAAGAAGAAATCTAAGCTTTTTTTGGGCATATATTCGTATATTAACATCTTTTCTACACCGTGAATGCAACAACCAAGAACCCGAACAAGATTTGTATGCTGGAGTTTAGCAATAAGTACTAGTTCATTCTTGAATTCCACGATCCCTTGCCCTGATGTTCTTGAAAGCCTTTTGATTGCAATTTCTCGTCCATCACTTAGTCTTCCCTGTTTTTTATAATTTCATGATATCTCTTTTTGTCAGATTAGAGGTACAAATGAAAAAACATAAAACATGCATCAAATTAGTTTAAAGTAACATAACCTTGTAAACAGGTCCAAAACCACCTTGTCCGCGCTTATTCTCAACTGAGAAATCATCAGTGGCAGCTTTCAGAAGCTGATGTATATCCTTGAAGCTGATGTATAAATAATAACAAGTCATTTCCTTTCCCACCATTGTTTTCAAGCTGATGTATATCCTTGAAGCTTTCAGAAGCTGTCAACTCCAGGAAATACTCATCTCTCTTCCGTCTCTCATATTCTACGATTAGTATTAATGACTTAACAAAATAGGCAACTATATCATACAAACAGAAGCTAGAAATATCATCATTTCTAATTATATACCTTTTCGTTTATGCTTTCTCTTCTTTATATACCATAAAATGCCAAAACATAGGAAAAAGAGAGGAATGACAACGCCAATGAGTATCCATTCCCAATTCTTGCTCTTTTCTATTTTGGTACCTGCATATTGAATTGTTTAGATTCTAAAATGATCAGAAGGTAGCTAAAATCATTGGAAATTAACATTATTACCTGTACTTGGATTGATTGGATTTTGGTTGATCACATACTTTAAAGTAGAGTTATCACGAGGATTAACTAAAAAGTTATTACTTCCAGTCCATATAACACAGCCAGTTCCATTGATGCTACTACTATTAAACCCCACACAAGTGCAATCATTCCAACACTTAACAAAACAATCGCTAATACTTAAACTCGAGTTGTCATCAATAGCACTTCTTGTCAAATCATTAGCAAAATCTCCTTTCATTTCACTAAACTTATCACTCTCTCTTCTACACCGAGGCAAACTCAACTCCACACAACCATTACCAGAATCATACCCATAACAGAACTCAGGTGTCCAAACAGTAGAATTATCAATATCTGTAACTTGTCGTTTTGCTGTTAAAATCCACATGGGTAAAGCAGAGATATTATTGGCCTCATAGCTAAAGTATCGTGCTTCGTTGGTGTATATAGAAGAGAGATTATATCTAGATTGGCTACTTGGGCCATTCAATGAAAACATATATTGAAATATTTGATTATTTAGACTACCACTAGTCCAGTAGGGTTGTCCTCGTCTTCGAATCATCAATCTTTGGGATGCTTCTTCAATGGGCTCCTAACTCATAGTAAAAGCTCCTGAAGAAGGTATATCATTGCTCAGCCAAGAAGTCAAGGTCCAGTTCTTCCTTGTTGCCATGTCATACCCAAGTTTCATTCCAGGTAAAAGTACATTACTTGGATGATCAAAACTCTGCCAAGTTTGATAGTTGAAAATGAATCGGAAGCAGGACAAAATCTGACAGTGTAATCGGCATCAATACAGGTAAATATATGAGTCGACCCATAACCGGATACATTGAAGCTGCAACCTGTCCTACCCCAGATACCACACGACCACCCAACCGGAGCTTGAAAAGAGCATGCAGTACCCTTTGTTAGCTCGAATCCAGTATTGGAATCAGTCCAGCCATTGACTCCAGGCCAAATAGTGAACCCACAGTCATTTACAAAAGTAAAAGTAGTCCCCGAAGCTCCTACGAAGTTATACAAAATTGCATTTAGAACAAAATCTTATCTTGGCTTGTGTGTATGTTTTGGATACAAAGGTACAGATTTACCAATAGATAAGAAGAAGAAAAGAAAGCCCAGAATTTGAGGAAACACTCCTAAATGAAATTGTGAAGATGATGATGAAGACGAAGAGGATGGACCCATTCTTGAAGCCAAATAGTTCAGTATCGTTGCAGCTATGTAATGATCATACATATGGAGCATGTAGCAAATCTAAAATGTGTGCAAAAAAATATGAATTACAAACAGCCTAAACAATATGACCATCACTGCTGTAGAGGGTTTGAACTTACAAATGAAAAGACCTACTAAATGAAAGTAGAAGGAAATAAATTGGTTTTTTATTTTTCTTTCACTGCCCTTGTTTCACTACAACTTGGGACAAAAACATAAAAATTAACGTATTCAGTAAAATTGTAATACGGCTTTACTGCCCCTGTTTTTTATTTTTCAGTGAAATTGTAGAAGGAAATAAATTGGTTTTTTATTTTTCTTTCACTGCCCCTGTTTCACTACAACTTGGGACAAAAACATAAAAATTAACGTATTCAGTGAAATTGTAATACGGCTTTACTGCCCTGTTTTTTATTTTTCAGTGAAATTGTAGAAGGAAATAAATTGGTTTTTTATTTTTCTTTCACTGCCCCTGTTTCACTACAACTTGGGACAAAAACATAAAAATTAACGTATTCAGTGAAATTGTAGAAGGAAATAAATTGGTTTTTTATTTTTCTTTCACTGCCCCTGCTGAGTAACTTCTTGTAATACGACTTTACATTCAGGTCCTGCTGAGTCACCAACCTACCATTATGTATGTAATCACGAAAATGGTGAAATGAGTCTTAAAATAAAGAAATATGTTTAAAAATTTTCATCACCTGTTGATCGAATTCAGTGAAATTGTAAACATCATTAACTACAGCAGAACTTGCAAGGCTCCCACATCCCATTCCAGTCCATTTCCCCATTCTCTTCAAGATCTTTCAAATATTCCAGGTAAGAGGGGTTGATCTGTACTAGCTTTGAAGCCTATCATTTTTCAAAATTCCCATCGCCTTTAATCCTCTACAAAGTTTCTCAACCTACACAACATCAAGTAATTATAAATAAAGTTGAATACATACAACCAGATCATACACTTCTCTCTGGAATCATAAAACATCATGAAATTAATTACAAAAATTATATAATATTATATAAGTAATAAGTAAACTATGTGTGAGTTGTGACATTCTGATTGTTTCATGAATAAGGAATAACACTACCATTGGGCCCACCACCAACCACAGGGTTAAACCTGGGAACACATTAATTAGTATTTGTTAGACAAAAATACTAAATATAAAAAAAGTATATGTGAATAAACTTATAAAAAGTAAATAAATAAAACTTATGCCATTCTCTGGGCACCTCTGATTCTGCACTCGTATTCAACCTTGGCTGATAAGATATTATGGTAAGGAGATATCTTGGATTGCAGCATAGTTTGTAAAAGAGCCTATTTATATTTTAAAGGTGAATGAAAAATCTTAGTGGTGAATAAAAAATGATTAAAAAATAATAATAATTGTGGGAGTTTTTGAGATACCTGGCAACCTATGGAAGCAGATTGTCTCATGAGATTAAGCTCAGCTAATGATTTGACCCATCTTGCTTCATGGGTGTATATGGAGAGATCATGGAGTTTACCACTATATCCAGCTTTCTGGAATGCCTCTATCTCTTTATAAGTTGGGATACCTGTCTTCACATTATGATATAACTTTGAACAATTTTTTATCATGTTTGGAAGGACCTTCAGTGAAACGAAATAAAAGTGAGTAAGTTAATGATGTTGGGTTTACAAGAATTCTTTTCCTACAACATGATTATAAGCAGAAAAATTCAAAGTTTAAAAGTCAATCAGTGGGGAAAAGTTCAAGCCTCATAGTTGTCTCTTTCAGCTTTGACTCAACCTATCGACCACCAACATATAATCAGTTTTGCTTCCAAAAACATCACAAATCCCAAATAATAACTGATCAACTAAAAATACGGGAAATCAAATTGATGATATTACCTGGTCAAGGAGGAGAACGACAAAAAATACATAGAAATACGATTAAAAACACCTACAGCCATTAACCCCTCAACAGCCCTCCTCACTTGTGTGCCTCTTTCGCCATCCCCCATAACCCTCAAGGCTTCATATTTATAAAGATCAATCAGTTATCCAACAAAGTCAAGTGTTTGAAAGGGCATCAAAATACAATTTTTGTTGTAATTTTTCTCTTAGGCATTTCATCATACAGTTGGCGAGCCTTAATTTGGAAAAAACTGAAATAGAATAGATGAAATTTAGAAACAACCAACCTGTTCAACTGAAAATGAAAAGGATCGAAATTGATTAATGCGAATCGGTTCTCTTAGGCAGTACATCATACAGTTCACCTGAATCGGTTCGATTAATGCGATTATTGGTGGTGGTATAATGGGGCTTTATTGGTGGCGGTGGTGAACCAGAGAGAAGACGAAGGGTTGTGGGTGCCTGGGTGGTTATCGAACAGCAAGGGGTAGAGAGAGAGAGAGAGAGAGAGAGAGAGAGAAAGACATGTAGTTGATCATGTATTACCTACATCAAATCGAAATTGAGGGAATGTTGATTTCGTAAGATGACTTTGAAATCACAATATGTATATGGATGTCCGCAAATTTGTTGCTAAAACCTGGAGAGTCGACTTAGGTTTTCCTGACTTGTGTTCGAAAACCATTTGTGGTGGGTAATGGAAGAGAGAGAGAGAGAGAGAGAGAGAGAGAGAGAGAGAGAGAGAGAGAGAGGTGTTTGTTATAGATAGGGCGGGGGGCGGCGAACGAGATGTTTGATGATACTGATAAGAAGGAGATCGAGCAAAGATCTGATGAGAAGATTAACAAGTAGCGGAGAAGCGGATCGGAGACGAGAGAGGAGAAAAGAACAAGGCGGGTTTTCAAAATTTTGGGGATTTCATTTTCCCCCTATCTGCTAAATGCACGTTCATTAAAATTATAAAGCGACACTTACAGAGGACGCGCATTTAACATAAAGCGCCCTCCGTGTTTTTAATTTTTTTTCTTACGACACTAAGTTAAGGGCACGCAATAATGCGTGACCTAAATCCTTAAATTTTTTTGAAGAGATGACAGTTTTTTAATGTCACTCTCTTTTGCGTAACATAAATCAACGAGTGTCGTGGGTTGCGCGTCGTAAAAGGGTCTTTTTCATGTAGTGACATATTTTGGACCTTTAACCAAATCCATCTTAACACAGAATCATTCGATAATTTAGACGGTCAATTTTCCGATGAAGATGTCCTCTAGGTCTATCTAGGTTTGGTGATTTTAATTTCTATGGTTTGTATTTTTAAATTTCATGTTGTTTTTTTAGGTTTGTTGTAATTTCCTTTGAATTTCCATGAAACTTTAGTTTTAAAATAATTAGTTTAAATTGATTATTTTTTTATAAAAATTGATTTTAGAAAAAAAAAAATAACATGGCAAGCAAGTCATTCCACGCCCTGTAAATGACAAATTTTTGATGCAACGAAACAAAATCTACATGGCACCTACATGGACCGTGGCAAATGTGACATCATTCCCTCTAACCTAATTAATATGGGGTATAATTGTCATTTACATATAGTTTTCGGTGGAAAAATCAAAAGAAAGCTTCCTTCGAAAAATTAGCTCCCTTAAATGATTGATTACTAGTAAAATCATAAAGATACCAAATCGGATTACAATTTACAAAACAAGATAAGTATATGGTAATTAATCACGTCAGTCAGAAAATTTAAAAAGAAAATTGCTAACTCTTACAATTCAAAACTTCAAATTCAGAATTCAGAAAATATATATGCAAAAACTACAAGATATTTTGAAGGCACGAGTTAGTTTGTAACACCTTTCAAAATCCAGAAAATAGCATAAAAAAATTTACAAAATTTGAACTCTTAAGGTATTTGTAAAACCCAAAAAAGATATATGTAACATCTGGTTCGTAAAATAAAACTAGATAGATTAATTAATGTGTGCTACTAACAACCAACCAATACATCCCACAAATATACAAATTAAATATCAGAAATCTAAAAGACATAAATTGTACGAACTCTATATCGATGGTTTTCTTCCGATAATATTCTTATAAACAATACCTTCTAATGTCAAAACGCGACTCATAAGTCCAAATGTCTAAACTTCACAAAAAAAACCTTGAGGTATATGTTCATTTTACAAACAGAAGTTAGGTTCTTAAGCCTAAGTGTAAATTACAATACTTTCATTAGAAATAATAACAAATCCATCATCCAAAAACCCTTCATTTCCCAAAAATGCAAAATTTTATGATTACTCGTGGCATACAACCGAAATGATTCCCGCTAGATAGTTGCCCCTTTCTCTCTTTTTACAGCCTTGTGGACACACGAAAGAAGGTAAGTTACAGAACGCGGCAGTGAAGGCTCACAAAGTAGACATCAAGCAAGAGCTTATCAAAAACACTAAACCCTTTTCTCAAACTTGAGTTACAATCCAGACAATAACAATATTATTTTGTGAAATAAAAAGTTAAACACATGATATAAAAATGCTAACAAGTAATGCAATGTGTGACACCAACTCGAGACTGACACACTACAGACCTCTCACTAACAACATGAAGAATCCAGTGACTTCCCATGTAGCGAGGGATGCCCTAGATCAATTCACTGTTCCAAGAGTTAAGTAATGTGCTAGACGATGAATTAAAGAAGATTTCCAAGGTTGTTATTATGGCTTTATTATCTCTTAGGAATTGTTTGTTTAGACAACTTATGTTGTGGTTTATAATTTTCTAAGGGGTTGTTTATTTTTGTCCCACCAAGTCTCGTATAGATAATGTGCTGGAATAAAAATAATGTGTAAGGATAAAATGTTCTATATGAAGACCATATTCTTTAACTGATTAAACTATGCGAATCTAAGTAAGACTGTACTCACCAAGACTAGACAAGATTTGTATGATTATTTTTGATGATTTGGATGAGGATGTAACATCCCATCTGTCAGGTATCATTGATTTTCCTTTTAGACTTCATGAATAAGGTCTACTCGACGAGTTGGCGCTATGACCCGTCGAGTAGCAGCGGGCCAAGACACGTCAATTAATGAGTGACTCGTCGAGTCGGCATGGAGGACTCGACGAGTAGGAGCTGGTAGTGGAAACCCTAAATTTCAGGGTTTTTGCACCCTATATATTGGACCATTAGCGCGTCCCACTGTCCTCTATCACCCCTTGAGAGCTATAAACCCTAACTTCAGTGAGTGAGAGCTTGGAGAGTGTTTTAGAGCTTTGAGAAGTGACTTTTGTGAAGGAAACTTGTATATCAAGAGGCTAGCATCAAGGTTTTGTGTGGATCTAGAGTCTACTTCAGTTTGGGGCACATCTGGAAGGTAATAAGCTGTTACCTTAGTCTCTTTTTCATTCTTATGAGAAAACTAGGGCTTTCTTTAGTTATTCATGAAGGGATTTTGGTATGGAAGCTAGATCTGAAGTTGAAACTTCAGATCTGAACCTCTTTTGAGTCCTAAGTCCATAAAGTTTCTAGTTCTTGCAAGGATGAGATTCTCCTAAGGTGTAAAGCTCCATTAGAAGCTTAGAATGGTCATTTAGAGCCTTTAGGGCCTTGCATGTGTGTAAAGTTTGCAACTTTACGTGTTAATCATGCCTTAGAAGCTTGGATCTGTAATTTGGAACCTTGGCATGGCTTAAAAAGTGTCTGCATGGATGAAGGTCTGCAAGGACTCGACGAGTTGCATAATCAACTCGGCGTGTCATATGAAGATGGGCATGAACTCGTCGAGTCGATGAACAAACTCGGTGAGTCCGTTGAAGATTGCCTTGAACTCGGCGAGTCGTTCGAAGACTCGGCGAGTCGGCTAGGGTTTCTCCCAATTCTTGGACACGTATGAA